CCAGAATGTTCATGTGGTGATCCAGACACTCGGACGTTGGATTTATCACATATAAGAACATATTCATATTGGGATAGCGTAGTAGCTATCATCTTGTCAGTATAAAATATATATAAACGATTAAGTAATCAGCCCAATAATTATTACAGTTAGTACTGTAGATAATATCTTAAAGATTGTTAAGATAATTATATCATACTGCCAGGTAAAATGTGTCAGATCGATATGGAGCTAATTTAGTAGGAAGTCCTAAAGCTCTAGTATAAAAGAGAAAAGAATAGCTAAGAGCTAAAGAAGTACGATTTATGACTTGATGTCATAATTGTAACACCGACACTAGTTAAGCAGTAAATACACTCTAATAACCAAATATAGTAAAGGAAGAAAGCCTTAAGAAACTAAGACGTAATGACAAGAGCAGATTGTGTTTTCTTATAAAAAGGGACACTTTTTATTTATGAATAAAGAACAACTTATATACAGTCTCAAAGTATTTCTATACATCTCTATTATCAAATTTATTATTTTTCTATTGTTTCGTATCTGAAATACTACAGTTTATGCTCAAAAAAGAGAACAACTTTACCAACAAAAAAATTATGGTAGAAGTACACCACCAAAGAAATTTCTTGTGTAATCATATTCCCAAAAGAGTGTCGGAGTATACATGTTCATTACATGCCCATATATGGATACACAAGTATCTGCAATAAATTCTGGTCGAAATAAATCATGGATTTTTTTTAAGGAGCTGAAGGCTCTGTTTTATTGGGTGAAGCTTTACACTACTAGGTAATAAAGGTGGTCACAGCTTGTTTTTGGGTTTTCTAATTTTCTAATTGTTTTTGTGATTTTGTTTTATATGTGGAAGTAGTATGGGAGGGGGACAGAAACTAAATTGACCCATGGTCAAGAGCGATCTCGTTCCGGAGTTGGTTAAGAAGGATATGAGCAGTAGACAAGGTGGCAGATGGGACAAAAGGAACTTGATCAAATATAAAGAGCCAGTGGTGTTGCCATATAGCCAGTAGTGTGCACCCAAAGATGGAGGCGGATGAGAGAGTGGTGTCCTTGGAGGGCACGAAGTTGAGGAGGTAAAGACAAGAGTGAATTGAGTCAGAAGTGATGGGAAAGGCGAAGAAAGTGGTCCAGATGGAAGACCAGACAGCAAGCTTGGCAGGGCAGTTGAACAGAATGTGAGTTTGCGAATCCAAGTCCCCGGAGCACATGGCGCAAGTGGGGTCAGGGAAAGCCAGTGGTATTTGGGAGTGTAGGTGAAAACGGCAGGGTATCTTCTTATGCCAAGTGCGGTACCACACATTGCGTGCGCTGTGGGGGAGGGGGATCGACCACCAGCAATGGAGAGAGCAGGGAGAGATAGTGACGACAATGGAATGAGTGGGACTAGGGTGGAATTTGCATAGGGAATGGAAATCTTTGAGGGTGAGCAGCGGCCAAGCGGAGCCAGGGACAAGTCCATTGAGAAAAGGTTGGACATCGATGGACGAACCGGTGGGCAAGGTGAGGGAAGGATAGCGGACAGCAAGGATGTTGGCGGGGATCATTGCTCAGTGAAGAAGAGGATGTATGAGGAGTGAGCGAGTGTAAATCCTTTCGAAGAAGCAATGGAGGACTATCAGTTGACAGGGGATGCAATGGAGGGGGCGTGGTGCAAGAACTGTGTGGCGGCGATCCACCTCGTAAGCATCGGATACCAGGAGATCTCGCCAAGTGGATGGGAAGGCAGGACAGTTGGGGGGGGACTAAAGACATGGCTGAGAGAGGAAGAGAGAGACAGGTAGGTAGGTTGACAGTAACGGCTGTGAAGTCGTGTAGAAGAATGTCAATTGTGGCAAAAATAGTATGTAATGGAGTTATAATCCCGTTGATGGGGTGAGCAGAGGGGTAGGAAAAGAAGAGGAAGAAGCGGATGTTCAAAGTGAGAGTGAAGGCGAAGTAGAAAGGAAAACCAGGGAGGAACCAAACCAGACGGTTGCTTGGGGGAAAGGATCAGAGGACGAAGCCAACACAGTTGTAGGGCAGCTTGCTGGACTTGAGGATTGAGGATTCCTAGGCTGCCACGACTGAGAGGTTGGCAGAGTGTGGCAAGAGATATGGGAGGAAAGGTATGATACTGGAGGAATTTACTCATTATGGAGCGGAGATGATGGAAGAACGACATGGGTACTGTGGTAACTCATAAGACATGCCACAGTTTCGAGAGAACCAGAGTGTTGAGAACGGTAGCCCATCCACAGATGAAGAGGGACCTAGAGTGGTGGATGTGGCATCCTGTCTCAATTTTGGACAGCAACGTCTCGCAAAAGGAGGTTCGTTGTGGCAGCGATTGTATCAGGGGGAAGCCCAGGTAGCATAGAGGAATGGGAGAGGATTGGTCGGACCAGGCAGTGATGTCAAATTGGTGAAGAAGTGGACACCAATCTGGGAGGGGGCGACCAGACAGAGAAAAAGCTTCGGTTTTGTGGAGGTTGATATGAGCATTAGAGGCATGCGAGTAGGTGATGAAATGATAATGGAGGCGGTGGAGGTGATTGGCATCGGGAAGAAAAACAAGGAGGTCGTCCGCATAGGCCAGAAGTTTGACAGGGGGTGGGGGTACTAGGGAGGGGATAGAAGCCAGAGAGAAGCCTTGGAAAGAGGGGTTGTGGATGATGCGACGCAGCAGAGGTTCGAATGCAAGGTTGAACAACACTGGTGATAAGGGGTCACCCTGCCAGAGTCCGCGAGCTTGAGTGAATGGTCTGGTCAGGTGGCCATTGACATTGATCTGGATCTGAGTTGAGAAGAAAAGCTGAGAGATGCAAGTGACAAGAGAATGGGAAAAGTTAAAATGGAGAAGAGTTTGATGAAGATAGTCGGGGTGTACTCGGTCATATGCCTTCTCTTGATCCAAAAGTAAGCCTATACCAGCAGAGTCGTCTTGTTTAGCCTGAGACATGACTAGTTTAGCAAGCATCCCGTTGTCTGCGATAAAGCAGCCCTGGACAAAACCGGTCTGGAAGGGAGAGATAAGGGAAGAGGCGGCCGGGATCATGCGGTTGTTTATGAGACGAGTGAAGGCTTTAGCATCAGTGTTGATGAGTGCAATAGGCCACCGATTCCGAAGCGAGGCAAGATCATCTTTCTTGGGGAGGAGGCAGATGCTGGTAGATAGCCAGGACTGGGGGAACACGCCAAGAGCAAGACCGTTGTTGTAGACTCGAAGGGTCAACTGTGCGCAGGCTGGATGCGCCATGATCAATTGTAGTATCTCGTATGGGAGTCCATCAGGACCGGGGCTGCTGGAATTGGGGGCACGGCTAGCCCCAGCTTGAATGTCGGAGAGTGCGAGAGGTAGAAGTAGAGAGGCAGAGGTAGTCTCAGACAGATGAAGGGAGGGTGGTAGATGGGTGAGTAGGTCGTCAATTGCAGTTTGTGAAGGAGTGTTGGGGGTGTATAGGTCCTGGTAAAAGGTTGTGGCAGCGTCGGTGAGGTCCTCTTTGGAGGTGCAGAGTGTATCCATAGTGGGGTGTCGAAGACTGGTGATGGTCGTGCGGGCTTGACGGTTGGTGATAGTACGTTTCAGAAAACCAGCCGAAGTTTCACCTTGTTTGCGCCAGTGTCTCCCAGCTCGAAGTGCGAGAATTTCGATGCGTTCCTGTTGGATTTGTTGGATTTGACGTTTGACAATGGGAAGTTGGAAGTTCTGGGAGGGTTGGTGGCGAAATCTGTGGATCAGGTGGTCACGTTTACTTTGCAACTTGACTTCCAGTGTAGCGAGGGAGGGGTAGGATTTATGAGAGAAAGAGCAAGTGAAACGAGCCACTTCCTGTTTGAGGAGATCCCATTGGATTTGTGGGGAGGAGTTATAGGGGAGAGTTGGGACAAAAGAGGTCAGACAATGAGAGAGAGCGGAACAGAAGGATGGATTGTGAGCTAGACGCAGGTTGGCACGCCACAAGCCTTTGCCAATGTTGGAGAGGGTGGGAAAGCGAAGACAAGTCTGGACAAGGCAATGACCAGTCCATAGTGGCTGCACGTAAGTGACTGTGGAAGAGCCATAACAATGAGCGAGGTCGGTAGAGGTGTAGATGTAATCAATGGTGGATGAGAACATGTCACGGTGGAAGGTAGGCA